GCTCCCGAATCGCCACCCCAACGCCATCCGGTGCAGCGTTAGCCTGCAATGGGCAAGTTTTCCAGCTCAGCATCCCTCCCCGTGTCACCCATGGCCAGGAAAATTCAGGCAAACTCAAAAAACCAGGACCCACACCCCAGCAGCTGATGGATATTAAAATTTTTCATCTTTATGGTGCAAATCTGGCAAATAAGAGACCTGGCCAACAGTCTTACTGCGCACTGAGCACTGCCGTTCCTGAAGAGACGTACTACAGTGAGCACTGCATCTTATCTCTGCCTTTTCCATAGCAGAGCAAAACCCAAATTCTGCTTATTGGTGTCTGGATGTTGAAAACAAACCCAACACAGAGCACCTGCGTGCTAAGCCAGCAGTAAAGCAAAAGGCTTGCGCAGAAGAAAAAAATAAATCAGAGGCTCCAAGTGAAACAAATACATGAGAGCCATTCATCTGAACCCTTCTGCCCTGCCCGAAGCCAAAGCACCAGCACTACTGCTCACGCACGGTGCTTTCCCTGCTGTATCTGCATCAGCATTACCTTAAGTAAGCGGTCGCTGTTCAGCAAGTCCAGCAGTTCCTCCTCAAATTCCTCCAAGGAAGGGTACAGCCGGACAGACAGCCTCTCCAGATAGCAGGTGACCGGCTTCATCAGCCGGGGCTTCTGCAAGCAGTCACCTGAAAAGACAAGGCGGTGGCCACGGGTCAGACCACATCTGGGGGTGACACCGCAGGGGCACCTGCTGCCGGACCCGAGCCAAAAGCAGTGCCGGGGAGGGGTTGTGGTCCTGTGTGGGATCCCCAGCTTCCCCGGCACATACACATCTTTACACCCAGGAGAGACCCAGAAATTGGCCTTCGGTGCCAATGGATGCAGTCTGTTTACTTAACACCACTGCAGTGCTGGGGTGCCCTGCGGTGCAAGACCCTGGCTCTGCCCTCTTCCACTTCTGAGGGGTGGTCTCAGCAGCACCGGGGACTCGGCTGCTTTGGAGACCTCGCTCAGCTTTAACATTAACAGTTACAACCCCCACAGTGGTTAGCAGTAGGGTTTTCCAGGCAGGAAGCTGAAGAATAATTCAGCTGCAGAACTGAGAATACTTTTTGCCCTCTGAATCTTCAGGTCACGTAAATTATAATTGCAGCAGCTCCAACGGCAAGGCTGCTACCCACAGGGAAAGATTAACGGGGGCTGCGCGTGCAAGAGCTCATCCCCCTGAACCTGCCAGACCCCCAGCGATCCTGAGCCCTGCCACGGAGGAGGACGACTTTAAACAAGCTGCAAGAGCTTCCCCAAAGACTCTGCCGAGTGACTGTAATTAAACCAACCATCACTTATCCCTAGCAGCTTCCCAGGAGCAAAGCAATTAACAGACGGGGAACAGACCAAGGCTGTTTTGACACCTTTCAGGATGAGCTACGAACGCAAGGGCTGCAGCCCCGCCAGCCCATGCAGCGGGAGATGCTCTTGCCAAGGGGCAGCACTGCAGAGAACCCATCGGTGCTCCCAGAAACCCCATCCCAGCGCCCCACCTGCCCTATCCGCAGCCCCCCCAGGGTCCTGCCGCCTTCGGCAGAAGTGGCACAGGCAGCAGGGCAAGGGAAGGAGCCCTTACTCGCATCTCCAAGCGCCGGCAGCAAGCCAGGAATGGTCTGCAGCCCAGAGATCAGAAGGTTTTCAGGAAGGAGGTGAAATATCGTCTCCAGGGGCTGGTGGGGCTTCAGGGCGTACTGCAGGTGGCTCTTCTCCATCACCGTCAGGTATTTGTTCTCTGAAAAGGAGAAAACATCCCAAGATGACCAAAAACCGGAGGAGACAGCTTCGCAGCACCACCGTTGAAGAAATCATTGTCCATGAACACATGTGCTGGGAGCAAAGGAAAACCTGGGTTTGCCTGGCCAGGCTTTTCCCAGCTGGCAGTAAGGCACGTCCACTTGGCGCTGCCAGGGCACGGACCACGTATCGCATCGACCGGACACACACGATGCCCATTTGGATAAGAGAGGCCGCCAAGAAAGGAGCGAGACGCCATGTCTTGCTGCTGCTTACTTTCCACGGGGTCCTGGAAGCGCGGGTGCAGTAAGGCACGTGGTGTCCCGTGGTACAGCTTCAGCCTGAAAGCAAGGAGCACACGCAGTGGTCAGTAAATCCACCCTGAAGCACAACTTCATCTCCCACAATGCCTCTGCTCGACAGCAAGAAACCACCTTCCTACTCTGTACCCACGGTAAAACCCCCATCCTTTAGGGAAAGGGCCAGCATCACTCACAAACCCATCCCTGCTCCCCCAGCAGGGAAGAGTTCCAGGTTTCTGGCTTTGTTTCTGCAGCCCCAGGACCACCCTTTCTCCCCCCCAGAGCAGCCGTGCACATTGCCACCCCAATTCCCAGCACGCCCCATCACACGGCGGTGGGGACACCTACGTTTTGTCCTCAGTGGCCGGGTCTGTCGCCTCCGACCCGCTGCCGAAGAGGGGGATGAGTCCAAAGCCGCAGGAGAGGTGCTGAGAGCCCCCATCCCCTTCCCCGGCTGTCGTCACCACTTCCACGACAGCAGCGATGCTGGGGTGGCTCAAGGAGGTGTGGAAGTAAACGGTCTGGGACAGGGAAGGAGAGAGAAAGGGTTCGTCAGAGCCGGCGGCAGCCGCAGGCAGAGCGATACCTGGTTGCATTTGGACAGCCAGCAGCACAACCACAATATCTGTCAAAACTCCCAAATGGCACCTCACGGCAAAGGACCTCTGGCGCCATTTGGAAACCTCAACCTCCTTAAATCGTAAATACCATTAACTTATTTCTAATTTTTTTTTAAATTTAACACCCATTTTCCGGAGTAACTCGCAGGCTGCAGACCCCGTAAAAGCGGGGCTTCGACTCGCCCCTGACCTACAGCATTATAGCAAGCCCCACACTGGGAAAGCCAAAGGAGCTGGAACCCCTCCTGCCATGGGGAGGGGAGGTGGGATGGCCCAGACCGGAGGGCAGGAGGGGATGGGACAGGACACAGGTCACCTCCCCGGGACAGGATTTAAAGCTAGGTTAATCCTTCTATTAAAAACTCATTACCGTGGTGTTCCAGGGAAAGCGTTTACTGCAATCACAGGCTGTCAGGAACGGATAACGGAGAGAGACATTACCGCAGCAACCCAGGGAAATAAATCGTTATTCTATTATCTTTTATTGCAAAACGTTGAAATAATGACCGCTGGCCGCAGACCGATGCCTGGCCTAGCAAAGGCACAGAGCGCCCTTACAGCAGATCCCCTGTAAAGCCAGGCTTGCTGTTCCCTCTGCCAGCGCCAACACCACTTTGCGACAGCTCGTTCCTCTCCCCTAAACCCCACGAGGACGATGCGCAACGGGGGTCACCTCCCCAGCGCCGGCGGCAGCCGCAGGCAGAGCGATACCTGGTTGCATTTGGACAGCCAGCAGCACAACCACAATATCTGTCAAAACTCCCAAATGGCACCTCACGGCAAAGGACCTCTGGCGCCATTTGGAAACCTCAACCTCCTTAAATCGTAAATACCATTAACTTATTTCTAATTTTTTTTTAAATTTAACACCCATTTTCCGGAGTAACTCGCAGGCTGCAGACCCCGTAAAAGCGGGGCTTCGACTCGCCCCTGACCTACAGCATTATAGCAAGCCCCACACTGGGAAAGCCAAAGGAGCTGGAACCCCTCCTGCCATGGGGAGGGGAGGTGGGATGGCCCAGACCGGAGGGCAGGAGGGGATGGGACAGGACACAGGTCACCTCCCCGGGACAGGATTTAAAGCTAGGTTAATCCTTCTATTAAAAACTCATTACCGTGGTGTTCCAGGGAAAGCGTTTACTGCAATCACAGGCTGTCAGGAACGGATAACGGAGAGAGACATTACCGCAGCAACCCAGGGAAATAAATCGTTATTCTATTATCTTTTATTGCAAAACGTTGAAATAATGACCGCTGGCCGCAGACCGATGCCTGGCCTAGCAAAGGCACAGAGCGCCCTTACAGCAGATCCCCTGTAAAGCCAGGCTTGCTGTTCCCTCTGCCAGCGCCAACACCACTTTGCGACAGCTCGTTCCTCTCCCCTAAACCCCACGAGGACGATGCGCAACG